AAAGTGAGGGTTGCTCAGGTTTGCGAGTTCAGAATGAAAATCCTAGACGATGAAGAGAAAATAAAAGCGAAAATAGAAAAGAAAGCAGCTTGCAGCGCTGTGACGACTTCTGAGACAAACGAGGTGGAGGCAGAGACGAACGAAGAGCCTGCGCCTCATCAGAAGCAGAACAACTGACGCACACTTCTGTACTTTTACAATTAGTACGCATTGGTTGCACGAACTACGACGAGAGGGAGAGACCGAGACGGACGAACCGACAACATAAATCACGTGGACAGGAGACAAATTTCGTTTTCGGTTCTACTGCATTTTGCTAGGGCTGCTCTACTACTCCGGGTTCTTCACTAGTAAGTTCATTCCAAGTTAAAAAAAACCTTTCTTGTTACTCCACTAAGTATTATGTAAGTTTGCCAGCTAGAGTACTTCTTCACTGGTGACTTGCATATAATCGAATGAAGATCATCGACCTCCTGCAGATTCGTTTTCTTTCGTATCTGCACCGCGGTGCCACCGATCTCTGCGAAGTAGATTCGATTGGTTTACTTACTTTTCCTCCCCGAACGTAGGAGTAGAGCCTTCCAAAGTGGGATATACAAGAAAAAAACTGTGTATAAAGTGTGAATGTGTGATGCAGAAAATGCAAAACAGTTACTTATACTTGTCATGCTCGACATGCCTGATCGGCTCGCTTCCTATGTGTTTTCCCTTACTATCTGTGCATAACAACTTTTTCTAGTCATGGCAGACGAACTTGTGATGCTGTTTTCATCCCAAAAGACTTACACGGACACATTTTTTTTCTTGGATATAGGATGTTTAACCACCAGTAGGCACCACGTCGAGAAAGTTCAAAACCCGCTATTTTCCGAGAACTCATTCCGTTCCACCACGTTCAACCAGAGAGTCCACCGGCCATTTAAGCTGCAAAATGTAACAATGCCACTTCTCGTTGTCATCATGATTGTTGCCGTTCTGCTGTAGGTGCGTGCGTGCCTGCTGGTGCGCCCTCGTGCTCGTACAAATACTTTACTTGGCAAAATAAATAGGCTGCAAAATGTAACAACGACCACGACAGAAATTTCATGCGGATCTTTTTTTGATCGTTCGCTGATCACCTCAACCCCTTTCCGAATCAGATCACAGAGATCGAAACTGCGCGGCTGCTTCTACTTGGCGAAGGCGTTAAGTACAATTGCACTTCTGCAATCATTTCCTCTGCGATGACTGTGCGCGACACTGAATAAAATGCAACCGAAGCCTCATCTGGATTGAATTTGCACGCAAATGATCTTTCCAGTTTTGTTGTTGCCTTTTCGTGATGCAGTTCTCACACAGGAATGGCAATAACAGCGACAGGAAGGAGCGTCTGCTTTTGATCTTCACGAGCGTCGCTCTTTTGTTTCAGGATCATGCTCCTGGGCCGCGCTAAGACATGATCTTTCTCTTTGTCTACTTGCATCCATTGCATTCAGATCTCAGCTTTTGCTTCTCCTCTAGCGTCGAGCTGCAGGAGCAAACTGAACAGTCTTAGGTACAAATACGCACCGCTTTCTTCTTCTGTCGATACGGCGACGAAGACAAGCGAGCGCAAGGCTACTCACATACGACAATACTACACACACGTAACCCGTAGACCACTCCATGTGGCGCATTCCTTCGCACTGAAATGTGTGGGCGTAGATGTCCGGACCCTCGTACTCAACAGCCGCTGCGTCCATTGCTAATTTGGAGCCCTTGTCCACATTCTTCGCGGCGCAATACTCGGAAAACGTCTGTTGCTGCTGCACCTTCCCCCACGCCATGGTGGTCCTGCCCTTCTTGTCCTTCGCCACCGCATGAAGCTTTATCGTAATTTCGTTCGCATCCATCATAGCGTCTGGTAGCAGGAATTGACGAAACAGCGGAAGAAGGGAGAACAGGTCCAAGCAGAAGAAACACGGGTGCTACTGCACAATTTGGGGGGTAAACAGACCGCCCTGGTTGGTTTCGGTTTTTCGGCGGAGAAACGAAACGGACAACGCCGCAGCAACGCAGAGCAAAAAGCAACCGTTTAGCAGCAACGCATCGGAGAAACGAAACGGACAACGCCGCAAGTAAAACCGTGTGCTCGTCCCCTTCCGGAGGTGTCGGTTTAGAAAGGTTCAGCAACGGCCGCAACGCGCAGTCGAGATCTCACGGCGGAATGAAATCATCTTGTAGTCAAATCCTAGACAGTAACAGAGACGGACGAACCGACAACATAAATCACGTGGACAGAGGAAATCCGCTTTAGCTTGTTCGTCATGTTCAAACGGAAGAATTTCGAAATGACCGAATGACTACGTACTTCTTCCTAGTTCTTGATCAGGTTCTACCAATCTTCAAGAAGCAAGAACTACATCGTGGTATTATCGCATTATAGTGTGATAACAGCAGCGGCAGCCCCTGTAGTGTACACCTTTTGCGACGCGAACAAGTTGCTGACTGGACGAACAACTGGAGCTTCTTGTTCGAACGTGCGAACGTTTTCCTTTCTCTCCCTGGTGTTCTTGCGGAAACAATGTGCACGACGAACTCCTCGATCATGATGCGAGAAATACTACTAAAAAATATTCATGCGTCGCGCAGCTTTTACATGCGGCAGGGTATGCTGCAGAAAACTTAAACTTTTATTTAAAAGAAAAACGCGACGTAACACATACTCTCAGATCAATAACAGAAGAAACCTTGCGAGCGGGTCTAAAAGTCAGTCTGCTCTCGGGTTGCACCATAAGCAGGATATGCTTTTCCGCAATTGAAGTGAGTATGAGCAGTAGTAGAGCGTACTTCTAAAGGGGGCGGGCGGGGGCGCCGTCACAGGATATAATCTTCATAAACGATCATGGGGTCGCTTGTTTCGATCATAGGACTAGCACCGTGCTGCAATCTTGTAACTGCAATGTGCTGGCGGTTACTGAAAAAACGATAACGACATCTACAAGTGCATACATACAACTTGTTGTTGGTGAAACTTTTATTTTTTGTTGTTTGGTACAACTGTATCTTCAAAAATAGGGGTGCTGCTGAACCTGATGAAGGGGTTAGGGTTACTAAAAACCCTTCAAGACGAGAACAACGGGCGCCTTTGTGTCGCAGCATCTCGATTTTTTCTAGAACGCTGACGCAAGCCGTCCTTTTTTTCCACTCCTAGCACGTCAGTTCGGCGGGGTACTTGCTCAGGTCGGCCCCCGCAG